AAAAAAAAAGTGACTTTACTTACTAATTTTGCTTCTGTCTGCTCCCCAAACCCATAACATATGTATGCCATTTATATATGTATTTATGAATGAACGAATGAATGAACGACTGTCAACAATCAATTTAGCCCATATATACATTTGATCGAAAGCATGGCATTCATTTATAGAAGCACTGAAAAACGCTGCGTAGATGTCGAAGGCGCTGAGTCAAGTTCAAGCACACCGACTATTGAATATTTTGAGAAGCAGCAAAGTAGTATTGTTTAATTGCTTTTAAATGTGACTGAAAAGTGGCGACCACCTACTACAGTATGCAACCAACTGCCGAATTGCCGAAATAAGCGAGGAAAGAGATAAGATAAATTAACGAGTATTGCGAAATGGTTTTTGTAATTTTTTATTTAAATTTTTGGTAATGTTAATGTATAAATAATTTAATATGCTGTGAATGAAAGAAAATTATAAACAGTGATACGACTTTTCTGTAATTGTGTAATCTAAAAAATATATATGTATGCATATTCATGAAAACCGCAGAAAAATTTGTAAAAGTAAAAGGAGTATGCACTTTGCGATGTTACAGCGGCGAAGACGGTGATTTTTAAAGGCTCATACGCCGTAATCCTAATTAGTTTTGTAAAGGTATTAGTAAGCGCGACTTGCACAACAGTCTAAGGTAGAGAAAACAAGTTACTAGCAGCACTACTACAGCTAGTTTGGCATCATAAAAAAAAACGCATAGAAATCATTTACTATCAAAAACTCACTCATTCACTCACTAATAAACTTTGTGAAAAAAAACCTCTTCAATGCACCAGCGACACATTCATACAAGAATTATCAACAATGCATATTTTAATACATACATAACATTTAGGCGCATAAAAAGAATGCAAAAGTATGCAGTGAAATCGTATATTTAAACAATACATACAAGTACATACTTACATACAAAAATTATGAACATTAAAAAGGACAGAAATTTAAAAATAATTAAACAAAAAAAAAAAACGAAGTCAAAATATGATATGCAACAATTTTAAAACTGAACTACTCCATGCTATGGAAATGCAAAACTAAAAAAAAAAAACAAAATAATTCAAAAAGCAAATTTGTTGTAAAAAAATCCAACATGCATTATTTAGTGATTTTTGAAGTGCTATGCGACTTAGTAGCCTTCAGTGAATTTGAATAAGCCAGCAAGAAGAAGCATTAATTTTAATTTTTTATTTTTTTTTATCAACTAACAACATTTTGTAATAATTTTATTTAGTTCTTTTCATTTCCTAGGTCGCATTGTAGCGTCTGCTGCAATGCATAAGCTTTTGTACAGTTTCATTTAAAGCTTAACTAAATGTTATATTAATTAATTAAAAGCAACAATAATTAGCTTTTACTTTGCGCCTTATTTTTGTATTCATACTACATATAAACATATACACTTATAAGTATGTAGCTGTCTATAAGCGAATTTAGATTTATAATAATCATATGTTGTATAATGTTATAAGAACAGACAAAAAGAAAACAGCAAAAACAAGCGCTTCAATTAAGCTAAAAAGAGCAAATATTAATCTGTGTAAATGCGCTTATTAATTTGTTAAATTGTATGCTATGTAATTTGTACTTTAATTTAGTAGAAGAAGACGACGAGAAGCAGCAAACAAACAAACAAACAGAGATAGACAAATCAATTGAAAAGCAAGCAAAAATAATTATAATTAAAAGCTAAATAAATAAGTCAATCCACACACGTAATTGTAACTATGCCACACAACTACAAACATACAAAGTACATACTTTAACTTTGGGTCCACTACACGCTAAGCTGACAAATGCCAGCGCTACTATTGTATTGTATTCTATGTATGAAGCGCCAGCGCCCCCTTCACCCCCCCAAACAACTAAACTTTAAACTATAAAACTGTATAGAAATTGAATAATTTAATTAATTTTAACTATTGCATATGCATAAATATGTACATTTATATTGTAAAATTTAAGTTTAATTAGCATTTAAGATTTATTATTTTTTTACAATTAAATTTAGCAGCGAATTTTATTCGTTCTTATACGCTCGTTCATGCGTGTCTTCTCGGTTTGCTTACGCGCGCTGCTTTGCTTTGTTTATAAGTTAATTTAATTTTAATTTCGTTTATGTATATTTTAAGTTAAGCTCAATTAAAATGTGAATGCGCGCGCGTGCAAGGCGAAATTTAATTTAATATTACTGTTTATTGATTCATGGAAAACATTTTTTTTTTTTTTAAATATATAGAAACATACATAATTAATTTGTGTAAAATATAATTTAATAAGTGGCAAACGACTAAATACTGATACAAAAAAAAAATAAAAAAAAAAAATAAATAAAAAATTTGACGGAGTACGAAAACGCAAGATGTTAGCGTCTAGCGAGCGTTAAGAGCACAGAGTGAAAAGCAAAGAAAAATTCCAAAATTTTTAAATGAAATGAAAAATTAAAATTTATCACCTACATATACATACATACTATATATTAATAAATAATATATTATTATACAATATATTATACTTAAAACAAAAAAAAATAATAATAATGAAATATATTAATAAAAATTTAATATTTGAAAATTGTATTTGAAACTTAGCAGCAGCAGCTGATGTGTGCGTTTAAAGCGAGGGAATATCTAAAATGCACGTACTCTCGTACATTCAGTATTTTGAGAACGAGTTGCGCGCTTGCGCATTAAATAAATTAAAAGCACGCGTCCATACGCGTGATATGAAATTCAATTAAACGGAAAAAGAAATGTGGCGAAAAAAACAAAGTGAACTATTAATAAAAGGAATATTACAAAGAAAATCGATGAGGTTTTTTTATTTGTAGTTTAATGGAAAAAGACTCTGATTATAACCCTTTCGTTTAACTGGTGGCCCTTTAAACTCGTCTCCTTTTGGTTCAACTACGAATAACCTGTTCTAGAGTGAATAAAATTGTATATTCCCACTGTGAAAATAGTTAAGCACTTTACGAGGTAATTCATGATTTCTTTCAGTTTTTAATACCAAAATTGTTATCAGACTGGTGTTATCTCAAAGCAAAAGCAAAGCACAAAATGAGCACCTCCGATGATGCCTTATGCTGTAAGTTGTAAAATAATGTGCCACAGAAGATGCTACCGTACGCCGATCTACTCCGAGCAACTACTCTACATTCACTTGGTAAGGCGGCCACGCCTTTGTTAAAGTCGGCAGGGATGTGGTAAGGATGCCGGGTGAAGAGTAAGTTGCTTAGTAAGGCATTATTATGCGCCCCTAATTCCTACGGGGCTATTCATTACTCAATAAATCTGACATAGGTATTTAGTACCCAAGTCTTTGTGTCTATAAGTAACTCATACTAGAAGCAAACTCCAGAAAAATCGATTGCCAGAAGACATCATACGAAAATTAAGAAAGTTCCACTGGAAAATTTTTTTGTTAATATTTCTCTTTATTTAATTTAATTCATTAAATATAATATTATATGTATGTATGTATGAGTGTATATATGTAATTTGTGTGTATGTATGCACTTAGGCATAAGTATATGTATATGTACATAGATATTCGTCAATAGTAGTTTATTTACCACATTTTGTCAATTATACACTAATGATATTTATGTATGTATATTATGTATATGGTAAGTAAATATTCTTATGCTTTAAAATCATTTAAATTTGCATACACACCACCGCTTTCTCAACGCTAAACTTTTATTTATTTCACCGCACTCGGTAATGTGACTACATACCTACATTTTCGCTTTCGATATGGTGTTATTTTTTACAGTGTCAACTTGTTGTTGAAAAAAATAGCTAATGATATGAATGCAGTGTGAAAATTATGCTTGTATTTAAAATCCACTAACAATTTATTCTACTATTTTCCATGGAATTAATATGGTTTTAACAAAAGCATAATGCCATATAAAAAAAAAAAAACAAGTAAAGATTATTTCTTAGGGTGGTGATTTTATTTACTTAGATATGGTTTAAGTATTTCATTATTACAATTTCTTTTTGAATTTAACATTTTGATTATCGTATATATGTACAATGTACATTTTAATGGACATATTTACGCTCTATAGAAGTTTCGTTTTTCATCAGTTTTGGCTTGAAAGTAAACTTTTGAATATAAACAGCACAGTTGAATGCCATTATGACGACCGGCTAAGAGTGTTTTGAGTGGGGAATATCCCCAAAAAGGAACAGAAATTTTTGTAATGTAAAATTCTTTTAAAATCCCAAAGGAACATTCAACATTTTCAGGATTGCGTGGCTGATTTGTCAAAATAACCTGGATAGCGAAAGTTCGCAAGCCATAAAAAATTATGCAATTATTGGATTTGAGCACTTTTTTCGTAAATCGCAAAGTTTCGGAACTGTTCGATCCCTCAATTCTAGCAAAGTTCCCACAACCAGGGTTTTCGGGAAATACAAATAAATACAAAGGTTTCGGGATGGACACAATTTTTGCTGATATTAGAAAAAATTCCATATTTAAGAATTTCGCGTCATTTTGAAAATTCTTACTTAACGCGATTTTGGGACTCATTCTTGACTTTTAGAAGAATTCCAACTTCTTGTTTTTTCGGGACCGTACTTTTCTGAGATTAGAAAAATTCACACATTTAAGGATTTTGGGAGTCTAGTTTTCTTTCAAAAGTTCCGAAGCTCCGGCACAGCCAAGTCCCAACAATATTAGAAAAACTTCCTTTTTCAGGCTTAATAAATTCTTACTTATCAGAATTTTGGGGCTCTGCGTTTTTTTTTATAATTTGCCAAATTTCATCTTTGTTAGACAAATTTCCACTCCTTGGTTTTTTCGGTAATAAATTTCAAAAAATACGGTTGGACAGGATTCGAAACCTTTTTTTTCAAAAATCCAAATTTCAGCACTGTTTTATGTTTTTATGTTTTGTTTTAAAAATTTGTTTTTCGAAAATTCCGAAGCTTCGGGATAATAAAACTTTGCTTTTCGATACTCCCGAAATTTTCGGATATCTAAGTTTTGGTTGTTTCAGATAACTGCAAGATTTTCGAGATTTCAAACCATCCGAAATTTTGCGAATCGAATGTTTTTCAAAACATTTGAAGTTTCGAGACTACGATATATGTATGTACATATGTACAATTTTTTTTAGAAGAAAATAGTGCTTAAATAGGAGAGTTTAGGTGAGGGAAAGTATCGAGGAAAACTAAAGGGCTTTTTCGAGTAGTGAAGTAAGTTGACTAAGCAACGGTAAAAAAGGGTCCGATTTTTATCTGACTTGCCTCAGACGGTCTTTGCTAATTAGACTTGGCTATCCAGCTCCACTTCTCCCATACGAAAATCTTTTATTATACATTTTTTTTGAAAACGCTAAATATGCGTACTTTTGACAATAACTTGCATATTTTTCATAGTTAGATTAATTCAAACTCCGCTCAAAAAGTATGCACGAAAAAAATATGAACTAAATATTAAAATATTTATGTAGCAAAAAATACATATTAAAATATTAAAATATGTATGAATATACATAAGTAGTTCGATAGTTCTCAAATTAGTTATAGACTATTGGCGCATTTATTACAAACTTTCTTACAAGTATAGTTCTAAGCGAAATACTCCATTTCATAAATTTCGAAAATACCTTAATACTTACATATCTATTCTGCATTTATGTTTATAGGTTAGTAGTTTATAGTAGATATAGTAGTAGTAGACTAGAGTGTGAACTCGCATTGACACAACAATTTGTTTTGGCAAGCTCATAGTTTAGTTATTCAGTAGAAAATTGTTTAGCACAACCATATTCGTGTTTGAAACGCTTTGTAGACTAGCGTTCCGCAAAATTTTACAAAATTAATACCAACAACTAAGTTTATACGTACTTACTTACATACATACACATACATATGTGTGTATGTATTGAATACTACGTTTTCTGACCCTTAAAGTACTAAGCTTTAACTACAATTTTCTTTTACATACTATCTATCTCTTTCCTCGTTTGTAAAATAAAGTTAACTTAGATTACATAACTACAAAAAAACGATGAAAAAAATATTTTCGCCATTGCCTGACAGTCTGTGGAACCATAAAAGAAGAACGATTTATTGGGAGCGTTTGTAACAAACCCGTTCCCTGAAGCTTTATTCAGCTATAGAAAAAAGGAGGTTTATCTTTTTAGTTTGGCCCGGAAGGTATTTACGATATGAACATTTCGGACCCCATAGATCCAGAGGGAAAAATAAGAGAGCCTAGAAGGGTTTCCAGAAACCCTTTTGAAGCGATGGACCTTTCGTTCTCGATTTTTTACTCTTTTTTTTATGGAATGGCCAGAGTTTCGGGACTTCTGATTCAAATTCTCTTAAAAGGGAAAAATTTATATGAAATCGGAATGACGCAGTACGAATTTTTCTTTGCACCTAAACGCCTACTGTAACTGTTTCCTTTAACTGACTTTAGAGGCTTTTGAAACACATCTTCTCCTTTAGTTTCTAAAGAGAAGGTCTTATTGAAAAAGGCAATCGAAAATCTCGAGCGTCCGGTTCTGGTGCGACTCAGGCAACGTTATCTTCACTCTCCCGACTTTTCAAATTGTGCTAGCGAGTTGTCTTTAATATATAATTTATAGTTATGGCGTACATATTTTTAGGCTTCGTCGATCGACCAGAGCAGAGAAATTAACATCTCCTCCAATGTCAATAACATGACCGATAAGTTAATGTAGACATGAAAATTAAGTTGATAAGCTTTTTCGCTAAATGCCTTCTTCTGCGATTCCAACTTTCCCTCCTTAGATTTTAATGTTGCATATTTTTAGGCCCGATGAGTTATTTTTTCAGATTTTTGTCCAAAAAACATAACGAAGCGAAGCAGGTATTACCTAAAAGAAAGTGACCAGTATTATCCACAGCTGAGGTAAATTTGAATGAAGTCAAAGGTATGTGGTAAAAGAATCTGTCAAAATACTACCGATCTTTCCAGAAACGGAGTGCCTATAAGTATGCAACGAGTATACAAAATCAAAAGCCTGTCAAATATACATAAGTGAGTGATAGTTTTTAAATTCTGCATTTAATTACAGACTAGTGTTTTTAAATTAAATTATGGAAATTTTGGACATAAAGTTCTGTAAATTAAAAAAGCTTAAAAAGTTGATCAATTATACTTTGTGAAATATCTATGAAATTTACTCGTTAAAAAGAGTTTTCTATGTACATATGTATGTATGTATATATTTTTGAGAAAATTTTCTATACTACAATACATATTTAGTTGATTAGTTGTGAGATTACCCTAATTACAACATTTTAATAACATTTATTATGAACATTTTGCTATATATGGTTACATTTTTTCATTTATACATTTAAATATATTTTGCATTTACATAAATCGTATAAGTTTGATATTTTTCCTATGAATTAGGTTAGTTTTGTTACATTATGCGTTGAAGTTCGTAAAAAGCACAGCATACTTCTGTGCGTTCTTTTGAGGGTGTGACTAGAGCTTGATTGATAGTTATCTGTTTTTGAAATCAATACCTTTGAAGACCTGCTTTTTTTTAAAAGAAGATTTCTCTCACAAGAGATATGTATACGTATGTGTGTGCAGAAAGTCTTTATAAAGTTTCTTTTGAAAAGTTTAAAATCAATGAAACCAAATTTTTTTCACTTATGATGCCGAATTTCCACTAGGCATTGAAATGACAAAAAAATTTGTGCCATTTAAGCAATGTCATCTAGAAACGGGTTAATTGTCTGTTTTAAGTAATGTAATGGCACGAATATTTCTTAATGCCCAAATTTTCCATTTAAATCCCAGTGGAAATCTGATATGTAGACATTAAATGATAAAAATTTGGAAGTTAAAGTTGGGCATTAAAAAACATTACATTAATAAAAGCTCTTATTAATTTTTTAAATGCCATGCCATTTGAATGCCTAGTGGAAACAAGGCATTAGTAAATTTTTGTTTGAGCCAATGCGTTGCGCTTTGTTTATTGTTGATATGCAAGAGTGCTAAAAGGTCCTAAGTGCTGGAGTACTACGTACGCTTTCTTCGCTTATTTAAGTTTATATGTATTTAGTATATTTTTCTAACAGCCATTGAAAGTGAAGGCGTTTTCTGGTTATCAGTAAATAAGTGGACACAAGCGACGTAATTTGAGATTGATTTTTACAAAGTTTCTTCGTCAATCGGTGATTTTCCTACAGAAACCATTACCCTTTCTATACGATATGCAGTAAATAAATTAAAAAAATTTCTATCAACAAAGCAATCATAAATTTTTTTTTATAAATTTAAAATTTTGTAAAAGAATGCGCTACATTTGAAAAATTAAAAAAGTTGAAGCGCCTTCGTATACTTTCTTTTGAAAATTTTTGAATGCACTTTTTTTTTGGTCTGCAAACTATTTTTGACATTGAGCTTTTTAAGTTTTAGCAAAATTTGGATGTCTATTTTAGTGATTTGTGTTCACATTTTAAATCTTTCTTAGTAGTATTTTAATTATTTTAAGCGGCAATTCATCACTTCTCTTCGTATTATAATGTAGTACATACTTCAATAGGGTATATATTTTCATACATATACATATATCTACATATATACAATACGTTTTAAATATTTTGTTAATAAACATACAAACATCTACGAATACAATATTTATTAACAGACGAACAGCCTCAGTATTGAAATATCCCATGGATTTGTAGATAACAGTAAATTTGATTTTGAATTAGAAAATACTTTTTGTAGAGTTGAATTTTCTTAAAATCTATTAGATAGAATTGAGTGAGATTGTCAATTTTGAATTTGGTTTTATGCACAATTTTAGAAAACTTGCTAATTATGTTGATGGTAGTTTTTAAGTTTTTGGTTAATTTTACTTTAAATTTAATTTGTAGATCCTACAATTTATGTACAAATGTATCTTAGTGTTGTTGGTTTAATAGCGTGTAATTTATTTTAATAAGTAGTATTGTAAAATTTTCTTCGTGATATGACTATGACAGTCCAAATTGCGTTATTCAATTTATGTAAATACAAATCAGCAATATAAAAAAAGGAATAAAAAATGTGTTTAGGTAATTCAATTAGCAATATTAGTAGACCTATTTTGTGTTTCGAGCAACAAAATATTCGCAATGAGTCTGTCGTTTGGGTTGCTTTAATGATAAATACCAATGTATTTTATGCTATGTTCACATTACCACGCAAATTACTTAATTTAGTTCAAAACTGAAGTGCGTTCATTTCGAAGAATTTTATTTGGTTTCGAAAAACTCCAAACTAAACTGGACAAGGTATGACGGAACTTTCTTGAAAATAAGTTTATATAAGCTTTAAATATACTAAAAATAATGTTTTTGTAGCAAGTATATGTTCAAATAAAGAATTCGTTACCACTCGTTAATTCAGTGTTAAATTTTCAGTGTTAAATCTTCAGGTAAAGAAACAGGAAAGTTGTAGTCAGGCTTAATCCTGGGTTCGCAGCTGTCGTGAAAGCCTAACATGGAGGAAAAGGGAAGAAAGGTATCGATGGCCTTTTACTGCTGAAGGGGAACTATTGGTAAGAGGTGGAGTCTCTCGCCCAATGTAATTCATTGGCTCTATGAAACCATAGCTAAACCATTCTTGTTTTACCGAGCCCATATCTGGTGGAACTCACTAGAGAAGGCTACACTTATAAAGCAACTAGAGCGTGTACAGCGGATCGCCCTAATGGGCATAAGTGTGGCATTAAAAACCACACCGATACCGGCGCTCAACATCATGTTGAACATTGTCGCCGCGCGAACTGCTATTAGGCTCAGGGAAACCGGGTGGTTAACTGGCTCGAATGCTGGACTCTCTGGAGTTGTGGAGGGCTTTGACTTCCTCTCTTAGTACACAGATTACTGCGTCCCCGAAATTACTCTCACAGCTACCTACATTCCCTCAAGGGGGCACTAGGTGAGGCGGGGTTACTGGAAGAAGGGAGCAGTAAACTACTTCATGGACGGATAAAAACTTGGAGACAGGGTTGGTGGAGGTGTCTTCTGTCGGAAACACTCAAAACTATGTTCAGGCTTATGAACTTCTGCAGGTTGGCATACACTCGCATAGTCAAGCGATCACCACGGCCCTGAACGCTACGATGGTGCGCTCGAAATCGGTAAGTGAATATCTGACCTCTCCAACAATCGCATCGGAGTACTAGAAGTAGTAAGGCTAGTTTGGGTGTCGGGTCACAGTGACATCGCCGGAGACTGTATGACTGATGACCTGGCAAGGAAAAGTGGAACTTGGAACGCCCCTCTCCCCCTGCGGTACACTCTTGGACGGTTGGTGCTAACACCACGCTATGCGCAATTGCAGATCCTTCTGGCCTGGGGTGGACCGGGGGCAGTCAAAGAGCTCCTTACGCTTGGAAAGTCTCACCCCTCAGGCCATTGTGCGATTGGTATTCTCGCGGTAAGACTAGAAGTCTCAACTCATCTCTTTTGTAACAGCTGTCAAGAGGAAGATGAGGCGGAATCATCTCACTACTTTCTATTAGAGTGTCCAACCTTCGCGAGAGTAAAATGGGAACATTTTGGCTCGCATTTCTTGACTAACCCTGAGCTTACATTCGAATTTATTATGGTCTCCGTTCAGTAATTCGTGGTATCACAAAGGACTATATCTTAACTGTCCAAGTGTGTCCCTTGCCTGGGGCAACAACCTGAATCTAACCTGACCTACTAACAGCTGGTATTTACAGGAGCAGTGCTGAACTTAATGGTACTATGTGGCCGATTCAAAAGTCATTGATTTTTTCTTTTATTCTAGGGATTGGTTGCATTTTAGTGAAACAAAAAAATTTGCTTCATGCTGCCCTATGCAGAGTTTCCATTGGCCATTGAAATGACAAAAAAAAAAATACGGCATTAAAAATGCCAGGTGAAATTGGACATTAATGAGTATCCTGTTTGACGTAATGACTGGAATTTTATTTAATGTCCAACGTTGTAAAAAAATTGTTTGTCATTTAATGTGCCGTGAAACTACGGTATAAGTATTTTTCTTACTTGAGGTGAAAATCTAAACTTATGTAAATAATTCCTTTTTGAAGTCATAGCTCAGTAAAAAACAAACACATCAAGATTTTATACACTACTATATATCTAAATATTCACATACGCTTCCTTTCAATTTACATAGACCATTTTATTGATGTTCCTATTTTAAAAACAACGGTAGCATGTGTGTAGGCCTGTTTGTTTTTTTTGTACACGAACATGTGCATTGCAAAGGATTTAACTATTTTCGTCTCAGTTCCATATACATAACAACTAAGTATGTAGATACATATATAAATTTTTTCACTTCTCTCACCACACCGAGCTGCTAATTTCCAGCTACTAGCAACTAGCAACAACAATAACAAAGTAGTCTGTGTGTATATCGGTATGTATGTATGTATGTATGCAACTGGCTATTGACTCGAGCAACAATCTAATCATTAGATTCTAATGCTTGGGTGTAACGCCTAAAAATAGACTTCAATGCCACCTAATGAGTTAACAAATTTTCGACAACCCACACATTTCTGTGCCCCAAAAGTACTATTATTGTACTTCCATGACAGTAGCAACAGGCTTGCAAAAATAACTGCATATGTATGTATATATATGTATGTGTGTGTATATGCATGTATTTATGTCTAATGGAAGCGTTGTTAGGCGTAGGTTGTGATGGTGCTGACGCTGGTGTTTTAAGTGACTAGTTATACATTTTTTGTTTTTGTTGTACTGCTGTGTTGAGTGCTTGACTGCAAAGGTACGCTACGTGCCCAAGTTTTTCCCCCAAATATTTTAAATTTTTAATTTTTTTTTTAATTTCAACAAATCAACCATATTTTCAGTTGCATTTGTCGTATAAGTAATGGCGGTGTAACTTTTTTCTTCAATATACTTACAGTGGTGGCAAAATAAATAGGGACACGACATTTTAACAAATTTTTCCTATTTAATTTTTAATCAGATTTTTTAGAATTTTTTTCATTAAATTTTGCAAGTGCAAGTTTGAAGTTCCGAAAAAATCGCGTTGATTTTTGATAATTTTTATTCTGAATTTTTCAAAAAAAATAAAAAATTGCGTTAAAAAAATTGTCAAAAATCAACGCAATTTTTTGGCAAGTAAAAACTTAAACTGCATTATACTAAAATTCAATGGGCTATAAAACTGCATACTCAAAAAAATTCCAAAAAATCGGATTAAAATGTTGACAATTTAGATGCAATTTTGCAAAATTTTTATAATTTTTGCACAAAGTTTTAAATATGAATTTATATGGTTTTTTGTTGGATAATGAGCTATACTTTTATAAAAAAAATAATAATAAATATTATTTAAACAAAAGAGAAATAGGAAAATTTTTTTTTAAATGTCGTGTCCCTATTTATTTTTCCACCACTGTATCTAGGTACGCACAAATATACAAATAGTGCTATAATACAAAAAGGTACAATGCAGCTACTAAATGACTTTTCCACTTTACGTTTAACAAAACAAAAAAAAAAAAATAACAAGAAAAAACAAGAAATTGACCAAGTACTTTTGTAGCATAGGCATTTTGTAAAGCTAAAGCGCTTTGTTCCTTCAAAATTTCCTATCTCTAGCTTTTCGCTTGTACGTATGTATGTATGTGTGTAAATAGTAACTAACATTTCCTTGCAATATAGGCTCACCCCTTTCCCATATATGTATGTATGTATGTAT